ACAGAGCGACAATTACCTAACCGGGTTGTTGAACATATTCCAAATTGGGTTCAAAGTCGGATGACGCAATCTGGGTCAAGTCCGCGACATTGAATCAACGGTCGAAACTACAAGACTCCGTCGTCAGCCATAGCTCGACATCTTCTGATGACGCAATACCAGATCGACCGAAGCATGGCGTTCCGAATTATCTACAAGTCACGAACCGCAAGATTGCTACGGTTTGCAGAAGCGATTGCTATCAGTCGATGGAAGGCCCCCTTGAGTCANTTACCCTGGTGATAGTCTTTTTTACTCCTCCCCCTTTTATGTTTTTTTCTGTTTCATTGTATTTTACTCATCTTTGTTGTCATGCGAAATCCCTATTTAAGTATTGTATTTTCTGCAGTATGCACCATGTTGAGATGCAGCGAAATCGTCCTGAACATAAATCGTGCAGTATTGCCATTTGGTCATTCAGTACATTGCATGAGTACCTACGCTCAGACTGTGACACAGATCGTAGGACGAGCCATTTCATTGAAAACAACCGTACTGATTTTTCATTTGTGGATACAGTATATTAATTGACAGCTCTTTTTGTGAGATCCGAATCAACTGGTTTGGGGTGCTTCCGAAAAAGCAAGTTAGCTCACCTCGCCTCCGAGCACTTGAAATTGGGGATGTGATAGTGTTTGTAACGCCCCGGCAGGTAGAATAAGGACCTTATTACGTAATAATAATGGTCCACGCAACCGGACTTTCACTCCAGGTTTCAAACGACCAGCCAATTCCGTCGGTGATAGCATTCTCTGACCAGATCGAGAGCTCAGAGTGCCAAATTCAATCGCTTTGATTTGTGATGCACCGTCAGTGAGAAAGAGTGAAACAGATCTGGATGCACTTGTTTGATTAAAGGTCGTAGATTGTGTTCCTATTAAGAGTAAATCAAGGTTGCATCTATCGTAAATCTGTCATCTTAAAACGAATATATGCATTAATGCATGAATGAATGTTCTTTTTGTCTTTTTTTTACTTATTGAATATACAAATGTACAGTCAACCGTAAGGAATGGGGCCGCAGCCAATCAAAGGCTGTCTGGTAAAACACAGAAATAGGGAAGACGGGCGGCGGTGGAGCGGCTCGAATCCGGGACTGCAAGATCACAAGTTGGTGACCTAACCACTCGGCCACCACCGCAACACGCAATGAGAAATGTGCGTTCCTAACTGTACAACTTTGAAGGAATCTGAACGTATCATTGATACTTAGAATGTTCATTTTCAGAAAAAAACTATGCAAAGTAAACAGAGGATTGACTTCTGCTACATAATGATCATTCAACGTGGAATGAACAAGGTGACTGAATAAAGCACACACTACTATTGACAGCTGATTTCCATGCTGTCAGAGAAAAACACCATGTCGATGTCTTCACGCTATAGCTCGGTATCCTGCGTGCCATTAAGGTAATGCAATAAACGCAGTCACTGCAGCAGATGCGATAAGACTGATTGGACCAACGCAATGAAGGCGACAAACGTGTATGTTGTTCTCATATCCGTCCACTAAATCTAATAAAAATCAGAGCATAAACATAAACAAATCGAGAAAGTAAAAGACATAAGAGAGAGAGAAATATATCGCCACTAAATAGATAACAAAGTTTGAAATTTGGGGCTGACTACTGAAGGTCTTTCAGATCTGATTAGACCTTTGGACATGCCCGAGCATAGTACAACGAACACCGGAGGCGAGAGAGTTATGTGAGTAAATGGCATCGTCAAGCGATCGACGGATAAGAGACATCATACGAGTGGGTTGCTTGAAAACGAAGTATTCTTTGACAAAACATAGAATTTAAGCGAAAAAAATGGCATTCAGTGATTGTGCAAAGGCGCAAAAGAGGTGAAAGTTCTACGGATTTAGCTTTGCTTGGGCAGCCGCGCAACAGCCTACCAAGAAGCAAAACAAGAATTAATTCATTTAACAAAATGATTCTTATATCATAAGTTCTTTCACACGATTTAGTCTCAAACAAGTAGAAACCGATGTTTTAACTAGTGACTGTTGGCAAAGCCGGACAACACCATTTCGTTCCCGGTTAAATTACAATTTTCATTAAGTATTACGGGGATAGGTCATCAATTTATATGTACTTCCACATAGAGCAGAAATAATTTGGCACTTACTACGTGGACTTTCCTTGTGAGTCTAATCCGCTTCTGTTGTCCAATTCATCTGATGCTGCCCGTAGCATCCCGCCGTTATTTGTTTCAGTCCCGAAATTAAGTGCGAGACGAAACATAGTGCATGACAATACGTCGTCTTATTAGGGTTTTCAAACCCGGTAAAGAATAAAAGAATTCCCTTGAACGAATGGTCGGCCTTCACATGCTCGACAAACTTCGCAAACAAACATCTCGCGCATTCCAGTTGCCAGCCTCGTCTAACTGAATCTTTGGGAGCGAAGGCCAGTTTGATTTTCATCTGCCATCCGCGTCGGAGCAGGCAGTCTCATCTAAATAGCGCACATTCGCAGTTCGAGTTCATATATGACTGATGTTTGAAAACGGCAAGAGGAGGAGCTCTTAAATTCGGAGAACGCAAGCTATTACCAACTGAGTTTCTAAACTGAGAGTCAATAAGAAGTTTGGTAACGTGCATTCGAAGGTGAGCCGATGCTTTTCGTCATTCGCTTCCTGGTTTGACACAAATCATTCAGAGACTAAACGTGTTTCGGAATTGATTTCCATTCGGCCAGAGATGATGAGTGTGACGGGAGTTAGAAAGATGCACGAGGAATGGTTCATATCGTAAACCCGAATTGCTCCATCACTTTAGGCAAAATGTGGGGCACATTTGGTGTAATTCGTTCCCGGTTTTTGTGGTCAAAAGGCACGAGCTATTTCCTTCTTATATGCAACGGACAGGTGAAAATCGAAAAAAGCTTACGGTCTCTGGTGACTAGAGCGCGACTTATATCGAAATGATTTTTATCTTAAATGACCTTCAAATACCATAGAAACGAGAAAATACACTTCGTTGAGAGCGGCGAAACATATCGTTTTGTATGGTGACTGTGAAAATTTCAGTAGCCTCGGTGGGATTCGAAACCACGCATGGACGCCGCCTACGCTTTGTACGCGCACGCTTTACCAACCATACAAACTTCAAATCAGCCAAACAACAATACCGTTTTGTGTTGTAAATATTTCAACTACTAACTATTCGTAAGTAACACAATCGTATTCAACCGTTGAGGACCAAAATATTTACGCTATCAAAATTTGCGGTTTGTGTCATAGGTATGATCCGTATAAAACACTATTCAAGGACAAGTTGATGAACTCAAGTATAATTTAGCGAAAATATTTGGTAATTTCCCTCTTGGTGTGATCCCTGCAGCTAATTTGAGAAATGAACCTTGTACCCCAACCCGCCTCCGATAGTTCCGTCCTATCGTTTATCAGGGTTTGGCATTGGACAATAATTCAAAAATGAATAATATAAACGTAAACTGCCAATTTTTGTTCCAGAGGCATTAGAAAAAGAGACGGGAAATAAACACTTGGGGTATCCTGTAAAGCGAAAACAGGCGTCATAAGCCTAGTTTATGAATGACATAAGTTATCCCGTGCAATTGACAATACTGTCACTTATGGAGGAGCGGATGACAATCATCATTAGCGGGATGAGGCAGTATTAGTAAAGCAATATAGTGAACAACATTGACTGTGCAAGTGTACCATCATTGTTATTCGTATAATTATGAAAGCTTATATGATTACATTTCAGTTAAAAAAAGTCGAGTGATCGTCAATCCAAATAAAATCTACAAATTCAGAAAACATGCAACTTGAAAAAATCTATTAAAGTTTGGTTCATGGGCACATTTGCTGAACTGTTTCTGTGACTTTTATTGTTGGTGAAGAATCAAACAGAGTAGAGTGCATGGGGATTTCTTATAAATGTTAATACGAGAAGGACGATTCAGAAAGGAGGGCGTATGGATCGATGGAAACGACCAAAGAATTAGATTGTTTGGTACTCTGGAAGAGCTGAAATGGTATGTTTGGTTCAGAAACGTATAAAACCATCGCTTAGTAAATATCTGACTTTTAGGCAATTGGATTTATTTGCAGTAGCTAATCTGAGAAGCATATCCAACAAACGTTCGATTCCTGGTCACACGTGATGGCTATGACTAACCGAAGGGAAAGTATGCTATGATTTGTAATGGTTCTGTTTAAATCAAATAGTTTTCGTCCTGATTGATAGGTTGATTACTGAATTTCGCCCTGATGAGTCTGGAATAATGAAAGCAATGCACTTGAAACCGGTGACATTCATTTTCAGCGAACCATCTACAGTAAAAATAAATGCATCTAGCCCCCCCTTCTCCCTGTTTTTTTTTTTCAAATTGGTGCTGACTGCAATCGTTGTGCGTTGTTATTTCACAGGAACACATAAGCTGTTGCTTGTTGCCACAACTATCACCAAACGTGTTTCCACGATGCGCTCCCAGTTAAAAGACAGTTGCGAACAGTACGATCCTTTATTGGTAGCGCCAGCCAAATGTGTGTTGAGTAAGGGACATACGTGAGGTATTTATGCGGGTGATCACAGTTTACATTACGTGGTGGGAGATGGAGGGAATGCACAAATCAGGTGACCGTACTGCGACCGTTACTTTGACGCCCACGCACCCAATACCATTGAGAAAACATCGGCAGATTCACACGGGGGTGACTGGTATCCATTCATTAGGGATTCATACCGTGAGGAGGGTTAGGCTCCCCCTGGCATAAGCATTATAGTTTTCCTTAATCGGTCTTCAGATGAACCTCGGATGAAAAATTTCTGTTTATCGGAGTTTAGTTTAATTTCTTGTCGATTTCAACTAACCTGATGAGAAAATAAATTTTGCGTGCAAGGATGATTTGCATTCGGAAGTAAATAAAGGTTTACGGTAGCCGATGTTGTAAACCTTGTTGTTGTTCCGGGCAGTTCGTCAACGCGGTTTGGCAGCAATCGAGGCAGTGGTGGCCAGTCTTTTCAATCTATCGCCTGGTTGCAAGAAACAAACGCCCTTAGTACCGATGATAATTCGGTACCATTCTACGGGGACGACCCATCAGAACTGACAGTGGTTAATCTCTAACTAACCCGAGACCAGATATGTATATGTACACCTGAACAAACTACTTTGTCCCCATAGTCCAAGGAGCCACGGACTTGCTACAACGTTGGACAAATAAGGCAGTACCGAAATGGATTTATCTTCGTGTTCTAATCACTTTTTGCGCTTTTTTAACATTAGTCACAAGGTCGAACAGCCCATTTGAACGAACAAAGTTGGTATTGAAAATGTTTTTCAGCGAAAGGGGCGTGTATTGTAGTCGAGTGAGTTCAGTTTGATCGACAGTTAAGGACACTGAGTGGCATGGCTGAATGTTGCAAACAGTGGCACCTGTACATCTTTCAAGCCTCTTTCAAACCTAAGTCTACCTGAATTCTCTTACTTTGCATTGACACAGCTTCCAACATTCCAATCATGCCTTTAATCTCTCATGCAAATGGGTGACCAAAAGATTGCAAACCCAATTACCGAAAGAAAGTGCATGGCTGTATAAATTGAAACTGAAATAAAACTAGTAGAAAACTTCCTGACCAACTGGTTTATAACCGTCAATATATCTAAGCCAGAGAAAGGTGAGGAAAGTTATCAAACGATTTCACGTTCATTGATGAGGGACAATGACGAGCCCACAGACGAATAGAAGCATGAAGAGGCTACCAGACCACAATCCTCGTATAACTTCTCCTACCTGGTGCTCGTTGGGTACCGGCGCCCACAAATTGACTGAACGCCTGAGTCATATGCGTGTGATCGAGATCGTGACCCAAATCGGCCTCCAAGTTGTCCAAATACGGCAAATTGACGCTGATATTGCCCTCGTGTTGACGAAGTTGACTGTAATAGGATTCGCCCACATTGTAAAGTCCCACGACCTAGCAACAGAGAATAAATCCAATTAAGAACGGAGCATATCGACAGGTAGATAAGAAGACGAGTCTGGTCCGGATCGCGTTATTGGTCTGATGCGTAACAGGATTGGAAACCTCATCGGACATAGACAAAGAAGCAATTGAAGGACACTAATTATTCTGATATTCCGTGCCCGGAATAGATGCAACCGGAAGTTTTGGTGAGAAATAGAATAAAATTAAGCAAACCAATGTATTCGGTTGGGAGGAGACAGAGAGGGAAGAGGGGAACACTGATATCACGGGAAAGCAACAAACAGTTTTCAAGTGCAATATGAATTTACCATGCACTATGTGGTCCTGATTCTCGTAAAGACAAGGAAATGAACAAACCGGGCACATCAAGTGCATTTGTGTTTGATGACATATCAGCGTAAGTCTGTGGTGAATTATTTTCCCTAGTGCTCACAGCTAACCAACAAATGTCACCCTCAGAGTTTTTGACATTTCTATAGAGCAAGTATCACTCAAGGACTCCATACGAAAAATTTACAAGCTAGAATGACGAATCGCGTTCAGGAAAGAACCGTTTTACTTTGAGTAAGAAATGGACTTCGCCATATAGAGACCGAAGGAAACGTGAAAAGTGATTCCACTTTGTTCGATACCGTTAGTGGTGAAACTCTATCTCTCACATTGGGAAGAAAACCTGAAGTGAATTGGTAGCCATCACATAAATATCTCAATTACTATGCCTCGGGTCAAACAGCGAACGGGTAGCCAATTTTGCTAATCAATTAACTTCACCTTCCGATGTATTGTTATTCAAAGGATAGGGTGGAGAACAAGCTGATTTCTCTAAGCTGCTTAGATGAATACGCAACGGTAGTCCGTGAAACACGCTCACGCCCACGTTTGAAGGTTGGTAGGAAACCTAGTGCTTGAACGAAGAACTGCTTGATTTTTTCATGAGTCACTAAAATCGTTCAACTATCCAAATTCGTAAAGCAGTTGCATTGTTCAGTTTCTGTCAACATAATTTTCTACCATTTCCAACACAGACAACAACAAACAAGCGGACTCATTTTTTGATACACTTTGATGTATTTAGCACCAAACCACACGTGATCTCCACAGAACTTTGCATCTATCAGTGCGATCAATATGGAAGAGAAATGATCCGGTCGAATTGACGAGAAGGCGCAAAATAGAATCGATGTGGCGACACTCTACTACGAAGCACCGATCTGTTTTGTCAGAAAGAATGCGAATGGTAGCGTGGATAGTGGAGTAGGTCACGGAGGACGTGGGAAAGAGAGTCAGAGCAACAGACAAGCACACTTGAAACCTCGACTTGCATGAGTGAGTGTAGATGTAGTCAGCGGCGTATGTTAGTTGTCAAATGAAATTCCGTGTACGAATGAATCCGTGTGCATGAATACTTGAAAAAGTTAATTTCACGCATTTTTTGTCCACAAGTTGCACAAGGTGTATGTTTTTCGAACACCAGTATCATCTGATTAACTCTGACTGAGAATTCTCGAATGGTGAAATCGAAAACTTTGATGTGGTGAACGAAAGAGTGCGTCTTGCGTGATTGGAGTGCTTCGTCTTTTACAAGTACTTTCCTTTCCTTGGTGTACACAACTTCTGAAATCAACTGAGCGACTTCGAACTAATGACCAATTGACAAAACAATCCACTCTGGTTTAACCCTCACCCCCATCCGCGTTAACACCCCAGGGAACTCCAGGAGGAATTTTGTTTGGAGGTTTCATTTCATAACCGAGCTGCATACAAATCTTGAGCATTATTCGAGAGTTAAACGCAGCCGTGACTTCGATTGTAAATGTCTTCTCGATCTGGCTCACCGTTTTTCTCTGCGGCGATGCTTTCGTCACGCCTAAATAGCCAACAATCATGCTGCCGTGAATCAAACAGTATACACGTAACCACCCTTTAACTTACACCGTTCTGTGTAGCGTGACATTTTTGAAGCGCGACAAAACACATGCGAGCGGGCTCACGTAGAACTGAAATCACTATGGTGCAAACTGAAGCGTAACACATCCAAATCTGGATCAAAAAGCCTCTCAAGTCAGGACACGCTACGCCCACGCACGAGGCTATACTCAAGCCTACACAGAATGCGTCACAACCTGAATCATCTTGGGGTCTTTTCGACTCCAACCCGGAAGATCAGAGATACCTCTACCTAATCGCTCTGCGCATTTCATCATGCCTCGTCTCCACGTCATCTGCTGGCCTCCACGTGGCTTTCTCCAGCCCGTAACAGCCACTGCAAACAAGGCGCGCTGCGGTAGGCGACCGTCGGATACACGCAAAACGTATCCTAACCAACGGAGCCTGGATTCGGAGCTGGATTCGATGAGATAGTAAGTTCTTGTTCGAGGCATTCCCAAACAACCCGCTCACTCCATTCCACTTGGGCCAGACTACGTAAGCATCGATTGTCGAACACTGCTAAACGACGGGTGTCTTCTACCTGCAAATTCAAAGTCTCACAACAGTAAAGCAGAACTGCTCGTACAGTGGCGCAGTATACGCGACTAAACAACTTCACTGAAACATCACGTCGCCTCGACCCACTTCATCGACCCCAACACGTGCGCAATCATTTGCACTTTGGACACTATGATCAGCTGCACACAAACACACTCAAACACACGCTTGGAGTCAGATTTTAAGCATTAGGACTCTAATTCTTCATTCCCTTTTTGCTGTTGTTGTTGTTGGTTTTATTTAATGTTATGTAATGGCGTGATTACGAATAACTGAAAACTAGCTTGTTTGCCCCACTGTTGTAGTTCTCAATGTGTTTTGTGTGCCTAGTCAAACGTTGGATGTACTTGTATGGAAGGCCAGTTAGATAAGGACAAAGATGCAGTGCATATATACGCTTAAGATTGCAACTAAATAACCATGGTCCATAGAGCGCGGATAACCCTTCCTCCATTCACCTGGAGCGAACACGGCATCCCGGTCCCAACTGAATTAATCATTGAAACCTGCCAGGAGCGGTCAGCCCGCTCGAGAAAATAGTCATTCGCCCGTGGATCACCCATACCCAGACAGGAAACACCACTTGATCCTTTGTAAACGATAGCTTGCAGAACCTTCTGCGGTGGCCGTATGTGTGCACACAGTGGATCATCCAGGAATTTCATGAAAGTCATCGGAACCGATCGAAAAACAGTGTTAGTCAATATTCAGGAATTCCACTTATTTTACGCTATTAGTTGCATAGGATAGTCATTGATACCCACATAAGTAGTTACTGTAAATGCGCTCTTCCAATTAAATCTCTGAAGTAAAGTTTCCTAGGCTCACTTAAGACAATCACTACAACTGATATACCACGGCAATTGAACTCAAGCGTACACAAACTAAATCAAAACGGTCAATGAAACACACTACTACCAGGGTGTCCAGCCACTAAGCATGAGAACAATTAGGGTTCTCAGCCAAAGCCTTTAGCTCTGACAAGAACCTGACTGCAAGGCAGCGGTCAAGGCGGATTGGAGGCCCATTAACTTGGAAGAGTCCGCATGTTTTTATGACGGTTTCGGATAAAATATAAATTCCTCTGTGTCAGCATGTTCTGATCAAACAACTTGTCTTGTAGTGCCAACCTGGGATAGTGGCTTCTAAACAGATTATTAGCGTTCCGAATACTGGTATACGGAATGCGTTCTGCTCGACTACCAATGGAGGATTTTCCAACCTCTGGATAAGCAATAGCCTCCACGTTTGTCACGAGTGTAAACAGTACTGGAAGTCTGTAAAGTCCTATTGGGATACCAGAGGAAGGCATTTTTGTTAGGAAAAACCCCATTGGATGGATGGCGCCAAGAACAGCACCAGTGAGTAGTTATTGATGTTGAAGGTGTTGCTCGGAGGAATTAGTGAAAGAAACTGGCAGTAGATCTGTTCGAACAGTGATACAAAATGGTCACTATCTTTATATGATTAGATTAGCACTTGGTTTCATTGCCACTTCTTCGTCTAGGGTTAATAGCTCCGAGATTAATTATGTGTGGGTTCTTTCGTATGGTTTACAAGGACTGAGTGATTTAACCGTGTGAATTAACCTTTAAATACTGAACAAGAGGTAACTGACCTAGCCTGATCGGGATAGTTAAGTAGCTGAAAACAGCCTGTAGTTCATAACTTCTTATAGAATGTCGTTTGCTGAGTCCGTGAATGAAACAGAACCACGCAGCGAACCGATGGAGCCAGTAAC